AAAAAAAAAAAGTGGATGGCTGTTTTTTGACTGGTCGGCAGACCACCGACTGGTCGGCCATACTACGCTCGGCGGTCGGGGTAGGCGGTCTGCGGGTATGCAACCCTGGCACCGAGGCAATAACAGGTTGCCTTGAAGCGGTAATCTGTAGCTAAGACACATTTTCTTAGCCCCCCGTTTGAATCAGGGCTGGTTCCCGGATCGACCGGGGACCCCTCCCCCATCCGCGGTCCTCCCGGTTGGACCGGCCGGTGGCCCGGGCTGGTTCCCTCCCGGTCGCCCTCAGCGCATTTTCGCTGGGGGCTGAAAAATTGTTTTTGGCGGTGCAGATGTCTTCCGGAGGCCTCGTGGGGGCAGGCCCTGCCCCGCAAGTTCGAAACAGGGTCCTGTAGGCCTGTAATTTTCAAGTCGAAAAAGTGGCCAATCTTGGCCGGCAAAGACCGGCCGCTGTTTTGAACCATTTCGGGCGGGAAAAGGAATCGTGCAGCGGGGGAAAACGCATCGCGCGTTCAACCCCGCTCACCTCCACTTGGTGCAGCCGCGCCATCGTCGCCTCCGCCAGCCAGTGGCGCCATCTCGCCCCCTGTGGACAAGGTTTGCTTCTTCTTCTTCTTCTTCTTCTTCTTCTCTTCTTCGATGTCTGCTCGTCTTTTCCTCCCTCTTCTTCTTCTCCCACTCGTTGTCTTCTTCTCTTCTTCTATTCCTAGTCTGCTTCTCTTCTTCTTCTTAGACTTCTTTCACTCTTTTTTGCTCCCCCCCTCCTCCTCTTCTTTGTCTCCTTCCTCCTCTCCTTGTCTACTTCCTCCTCTCCTCTCCTTGTCTGCTTCCCCCTTTCCCGTTGTTGTCTTCTTTCACTTGTGCTTTTTTACTCCCTCGTCCTCCTCCTCCCCCTCCTCTTCTTCTCCTCCTCCGTTAGCCATAACCATCGTTTTTTTTTTTTTTTCCGTACTACGTCCTCCTCCGCCTCTTCTTCTTCTTCTTCTTCTTCTTCTTCTTCTTCTTCTTCTTCTTCTTCTTCTTCGTGGTCACTCCTCCTCCGTTAGCCATAGCCCTCAATCTTTTATTTTGGTTTACTCCTTTTTCTTCCGCTTCTTCTTCTTCTTCTTCTTCTTCTTCTTCTTCTTCTTCTTCTACATCCTCCTCCTCCTCTGTTAGTCGTCAGCTTGTCCATCTCTTTTATTTGTCATCAGATCATCTTCCTCTTCCTTGCGTTCTTCTTCTTCTTCTTCCTCCTCCTCCTCCTCCTCCTCCTCCTCTTCTTCTCCTCCCTTTTCTTCGTCATGTTCTTCCTCCTCCTCCTCCTCCTCCTCCTCTTCTCCTCCCTCTTCTTCGTCCTCCTCCGATAGCCATAGTCGGTGTTTTTTTTTTTTTTTTTTTTTTTTCCTGAAGCTCCATCCTCCTGGCTTTCTTCTTCTTCTTCTTCCTCCTCCTCCGTGTCTTCTTCTCCTCGCTCTTCTTCGGCATCTTCTTCTTCCTCCTCCTCCTCTTCTTCTCCTCCCTCTTTTTCGTCATCTTCTTCTTCTTCCTCCTCCTCCTCTTCCTCCTCTTCTTCTCCTCCTCCGTTTGCCATAGCTGAGAATTTTTTATTTTTTTTTCGAAGCTCCTTCATCCTCCTTACGTTCTTCTTCTTCTTCCTCCTCCTCCTCCTCCTCTTCTCTTCACTCTTCTTCGCCATCTTCTTCTTCGGCCTCCTCCTCCTCCTCTTCTTCTCCTCCTCCTTTGTCATCTTCTTCCTCCTCCTTCTCTTCTTCTCCTCCCTCTTTTTTGTTATCTTCTTCTTCTTCTTTCTCCTCCTCTTCCTCCTACTCTTCTCCTACCTCTTCTTCGTCATCTTCTTCGTCCTCCTCCTCTTCTTCTACTCCCTCTTCTTCGTCATTGTTTTCTTCTTCTTCCTCCTCCTCCTCCTCCGTTAGCCATAGCCGTTAATTTGTTTTTTTTTCCCCGAAGCTCCTTCATCTTCCTTGCGTTCTTTTTCTTCTTGCTCCTTCTCCTCCTCTTCTTCTCCCTCCTCTTCTTCGTCATCTTCTTCTTCCTTCTCCTCCTCCTCTTCTTCTCCTCCCTCTTCTTCGTCATTTTCTTCTTCTTCCTCCTCCTCCTACTCCTCCGTTAGCCATAGTCGTTATTTTTTTCTTTTCTTTTCAGAGCTTCATCTTCAACCCCCAAAACCTGCAAAGTTTTATTGTGGAATCCGACAGTTTTGGCAAGCGCAGTCACATCCCGCGAAGAAAAATAAAATAAAAAATTTTGGCCATTTTTTTGGGCCATTGGGTTTGTCGGTTGACCCCCCCTGGGCCGGTCCGGCCCCGGTTGGACCGGGCCAGCTCGTCTGGCCGGTTGCTGGACCAGCCCTACTTTGAATTTTACAATCTGCCCAAACGGAGTGACCACCATAGTCCGGTCTGCCTATGAATGAGTCCAGTGGGCTCTCGAGCCAAGTCAGCCTAGTCATCAATAACCCTTTGTATAACCGGATTACATTGGGGGATGGATGCGTCGGAGTCTTTGTGTTGCTTTGTCAGTCAAATGGATGTATCCTCAGAGAGGCGCTCATCAAGGTTCAGTGTACATAAGCAAAGAGTCAACCACAGTTGGACTAGACTCAGGCTCATAAGCTGTCCTGTTCAGTTTTCTGAACTGTTCTTTCCCAAGGTGGGACACTCCTCAACAAAGTGCTTCGCTGCGCACCTAAGGGAAACCACATCAGTCTTCCTCTTATGCCAATTGAAATCTCTCCATGAGAATGTAGAAGGATCCATGAGATTAACTGGGCACTTGGCAAACTTTGGCGGATTCTGTTTCTGTGGTCCGTTGGGGCATTTGCCTGATCCCTTAGGAGTGGAGTTCCTTTGTCCTTATGACTGATAGGAGCTTTCCGTACAGCTCATCGGTGTCTGGGCCAAAGCCTGAACAGCCTTATATGGGGGGCTCTTGCATCTTGACTAACTCAAGGCCCCATTCCTAAATGGTCCCACAGAGTCCTCCTCAGCCTCCAATGCATACAGCCTACCTCTTCCCTTCCTTTGGCATTGGGAAGAAGAGCTGGTTCTCTGCCAAAGGACCTCCAGTCCTTACAGTTAACAACATAGAGGGCCTTGGATTATCAGATGCTGAGTACAGTCGAGATAAGGTGCCATGCCATTTAGACTGGCCAAGTGAGACTATCTGGTCGGTTGCCTTTTGGGCTTGCTCCATGTTTGCAAACTGCTTCGCCAGGTCTTGGAATAATGAATCGAGGCGTACATCATAAATCGAATCTGCTACTGTCTTCCCCGGAAGATAATGCAAATGCATTGTATTCGAGTTTGCGAAAGAGTCGAGGGTTTGAATAGAAT